ACTTTTTCTCAAAGGAGTCCGAGCCWGATCAAGGTGGGATGACTGCCAAGTTTCCAGCTCCTAGGCTGGAAAGTACAACGTGCAAGTTATGGATGGTTGCACCGTTCCTGATGTGGAGGCGGAGGAGAACGGTGCGACCCCACACTGAAAACAATAAACATTCTTTCCCCACTGCTTGGTTGGTTTTTCCATACTTTGCAACACCCTGGCCACTGCCACCCCCTCTCAAAAAGACTATAAAGAGTCTCTATGAAAAGACCCTGATGGGATCTCCCCAACGGACATCGGTGAATCCATGGAATCCGGACCTCAAGGACTCGTCTGAGCCGTTGGTAGCTATAACCCCTCTCTCTCTTTTTCTCTCTCTCTCTCTCTTTCTCTCTCTCTTACCCTCCTCTATTACAAAAACCCAATAAAATTGTTCATGATTTTGAATATTTCAAAATAATTCAAAATATTTCTCATTTCTTTTGCACTCTGAGATTCTGATAACGAACCCCTCGTGACTCCCGCTCGGGTTAAGCGGATGGCGACAGCTGCTAAATGTAGATTTTCCCAAAATTCTGATTTCTGAGCTCGTAGGATTCGCTCCCGCTGCTCCTCAGCGGCTCCTTCTCGTCCCCCATCTCGCTGTCCTTCATCTGTGAGAAGTAGGAAGGGGCAGCTTTGCCCTGGTAGTGCCTGTCGAGGGATTTGAGGTGCAGCAGCATGTGCAGGGCATAAGCCAGGACTAAGAGCAGGACCAGGGACATTGCCAACCCCATCAGCACGGCCGGGGACAGCAGGGACGCGCAGTCCTTGGCCAGGGCGAAATGTCCCTGCTGGACATTAAAACCTTGGATCTGCAGGGAGAAAATGGAAATCTGGGTTAAACAAACCACTGGAGATTGGTTAATGTGCTCTTTTTGTAGGAATTTGGGATTTGATACCTCGTGTAGGAATTTGGAATTTAATAAGGAATTTGTGATTTAATACCTCGAGTAGGAATTCGGGATTTAATAAATACCTCGTGTAGGAATTCATGATTTAATACCTTGTGTAGGAATTTGGGATTTAATAAGGAACTTGGGATTTAATACCTCCTGTGGGAATTTGTCATTCAATAAGGAATTTGGGATTCCATACCTCCTGTAGGAATTTGGAATTTAATACGTTGTGTAGGAATTTGTTTTAATACCTCATGTAGGAATTTGAGATTTGATATATCAAGTAGGAATTTGTGATTTAATAAATACCTCGTGTAGGAATTTGGGATTTAATACCTCATGTAGGAATTTGGGATTTAATACCTCGTGTAGGAATTTGGGATTTAATAAATACCTCATGTAGGAATTTGGGATTTAATACCTCGAATAGGAATCTGTGATTTGGTACCTCGTGCAGGAATTTGGGATTTGATACCTCGTGTAGGAATTTGTAATTTAATAAATACCTCCTGTAGGAATTTGGGATTTAATACCTCGAGTAAGAATTTGTGATTTGATATCTCATGCAGGAATTCGTGATTTAATACCTCGTGTAGGAATTTGGGATTTAATACCTCGTGTAGGAATTTGGGATTTAATACCGCAAGTAGGAATTTGTGACTTAATAAATACCTTGTGTAGGAATTTGGAATTTAATAAATACCTTGTGTAGGAATTTGTGAGTTGATACCTCATGTAGGAATTTGGGATTGAATCCCTCGTGTAGGAATTTATGATTTAATACCTCTTGTAGGAATTTGGGATTTAATAAATATCTCGTGTAGGTATTTGGGATTTAATACCTTGTGTAGGAATTTGGGATTTAATACCTTGTGTAGGAATTCATGATTTAATATCTCTTGTAGGAATTTGTGTTTTAATACTCGTGTAGGAATTTGAGATTTAATACCTTGTGTAGGAATTTGGGATTTAATAAATACCTCATGTAGGAATTTGGGATTTAATACCTCATGTAGGAATTTGGGATTTAATACCTCGAGTAGGAATTTGGGATTTAATAAATACCTCGTGTAGGAATTTGTGATTTAATATCTCGTGTAAGAATTTGGGATTTAATACCTCGTGTAGGAATTTGTGATTTGGCACCTGCGCGTTGCCGATTTGCATCTGCCAGTGATAGTCTTTAACTCCGAGTTAATGCTCAGAGTTTATCCAGGTCAGTCTTCCAGAAACTGCCAGCCATTCTAATCCCCTGCACTCTGCCGCCCAAAGGATTTGAGGCTGTGTTTCAAACAGAATCTTTTATGTTCACTCCTGATATTCAATCACAAACC